GAGCAGGCCTGAGGTTTAAGGTGAGTCGGTTCCAGAGATCCAGGTACACAGTGTACCTACTGTCAACACTTCAGAGTTTTTAAGAAGATAAATCTCATGTCAAGTGTCCTTATCGTAGTAAAACTGAAAAGAAAACACTAGCTCCAAATAAAAAGGAAATAAAAGGAAATTTCTCAGTAAAGAATCTATATTATTATAAACATTAATTATACCGAGAGGAAGGCCAGTGACGTCCTGTCTCAGAAACGCGTCTCACAGGAAAGCGTCATTGGCTGGAGAAAGAAGTGATCCATCAGCCTCGCGGGAGGTGAACGGGGCTCTGGCTGCAGAGCTGCACCTGACACCTGGAGCTCCAGGTTACAACACTAACACAACGTTGCTGCAGAATCAAGTTTAACAGGTGTGCACGCAAATAGGAGAGGCCTCCTCAGGCCCGAACGCACCCAGGAAGGGCTTCCAGCTGGGCGTCTGCCAGGAGCTGAGAGGTGTCTCACTGTGGACAAGCGGTGGCTCCAGAAGGAATTTCCACGTGTGTCTCCCATTGGACAAGCCCATTGGAGGTCGAGGTTGACAAAAAAGGGAGTGAGAGGCAGCCTCCAGGGGAAAAGATGCAGAGTTGCTGCACCATGAATAAAGTTAATAAAAGATCAAGGACAGGGGAATAAACACACGTTTCCTCTCCTGCTTGTGTAAAATTCTCTTCTGCAGCCTCGGAATGAGTATCACTGCATGTGAGCCCTGGTTTCCCCGCCACACCCGGAACGAGGGAGCCCGTGGGTGAGGGTGTGGGACAGGCGGGGCCCCAGAGCTGTGCGTGGGCACCTGGGGCTCAAGCAGACTTGCTCCCCTTTCCCACCTATGACCTCATGGAGAAGCTCGGCGTCTTGGGGTGCAGCCAGCAGCCTCTACAGAGAAGAAATGGCAGCATGGAGTCTAAGACTGAGAAGGCCCAGCCCCTGGTCCCTGAGCGACACAGCAGGTCACCCCTAAGAGCTCATGCCCCCTGGATGCTGGCTGCCCTGACTGACAGAGCGGCAGACACGCCTTGGAGACATCCTGGGGACACAGCTCCCTGAGGATGCACGCGGTGTATCATTCACCTTGACGTCCCTCAGCCTCTAGCACAGGGGGTCGAGCTGTGCTCTCCCTGCCATAGTCCTGTGTGGACAACCCAGGGACAAAGGCACAGACTCAGGTCATATCCTAAAAGAGCAACCGGCTGGCCCTGAGGGGAGGCTGCAGAGAGCAGACACCCAGCAGCAGGAGCAGAAGGACACCTGTCCATGGCCTTCGGTGCATCTCTGTGATCACTTCAAAATCTGCTGTGGTAGAAAACCTCACGGATTCGCCAATAAGTCAGTCCTCATTCCACCCAGAAAGGAGCTCTGATACTTAACTGGATGGTCTCCATTGATGGAAAGACGTGGTCTTGATAATGCGACTGACAGGCTACAATACCACCTGCATGGAACTGTCTGCTCAGGGACCGCAGGGCTTGCTCAGCACCCTGGACAGCGCCACCATCTCAGAGACAGGGTGCCACCCCAGGGACTAGGGAAGTGCCTGTTACCCTTTTGATTTTTGCACATAATGTGTCATTTCTGAGTCATTTTTTCTTTTTATAGGGACAATTTTTAAACTCATCTCTCCAAGTCTTAGGGCAATTTAGCACCACTAAAAAATGTGTTAGGGAGTCGATGGAGCTCTCTAGCCTAAGGGAAGGAAAGAGGCTCATTTTTCATNTTTAAACTCATCTCTCCAAGTCTTAGGGCAATTTAGCACCACTAAAAAATGTGTTAGGGAGTCGATGGAGCTCTCTAGCCTAAGGGAAAGAGGCTCATTTTTCACGTAACTTTCAGATACTGGGTGTTAGCAACAGCACAGCAAAGACCCCCGACAGCAAGCCCAACGGGAGGCGCGTCCAGGTGTGAGCAGTGGTGATGATCCTGAAAGGGGCGGCCAGTGACCAGCCTTCTCCAAAGTGCAGCCAGCTCTCAGAAGCTCAGCCTTTACAAAAACGTGAGGATTTTCCCGTGAAGAAATTTGATTTAAATCTTCTGAGTGTGTGACAAATCCACGGGAATCCGCTGTCTACAAAGAGCAGGATAAAGCAAAAGAATGGCATCCTTATAGTCAGTCCCCTATTTATACAGAGGCAGAGGCTGTCCACACGATGACACGTGACACAGTGTGTGAAGGGACAGGCAGGCAGCAGGGAGGGGACCCCGGTGGAGCAGGATCGGAATCTGGCTGGAAGGACTGGTGACCTCGGGGGCAGGCCCTTCCCCAAGTCCTTGGGTCTCCTCCTGAAATCAGAGGGGAACCCCCCACCCCCTCCTGACCATCTCCCCGTGTCTGGAGGTCAGTGGCCTGCTGACCATTCTCTATCAGAGATTAGGAAGCCCAAGGCCACCCTGCAGACTCTGGGCCAGGAGGTGTTTTACCGACTGTTCTCTCCCCTCTGCCGCTTGGTGAGAAACCAGGGAGGAGGTGCTGGAGGCGGAGGGGGGAGGGGAGGAGAGCTGCAGCCTCCAGACGGCCCTGCCTCCCTCCTGCACTCGAGCAGGTCCAGAGTGCAGGACGGACCACCAACAACACCAGTTTCATTTGATGACCAGGCCCAAGGGAGGGGACACGTGTTATCAATCCCTCACTCAGAGAAGACTGAGCGAGGGCCCGCGATGAGTTTGCACTCCGGTGCCTTCACAGATGAGAAAAGCGGGACTCAGGTCACCTGCTCAAGATCACACAATACATGGACTCAGAGTGTCTTTGTTTTTACTCTGAAACTCATCACTTAAATCTGGGATGGACCAGTAGGCATTTGTAAATACACAGAGGCTGCAGAGCAAATGATTTTTCCGGTGCAATCTTCAGTGGACACAGTGCAAAACCTTCCAACATTCTGATGCATCCTCTACTCGCAACAAACTAACTGACTGACCATCTCCGATCAGGCCGAGGAGGGAAACCCCAGCCAGATACAATTGTAGCAACAACGGGGAACATGGGTGGGAGAGCAGAACCCCCAGGTCGCTCAGCATCAAAGAAGTAGTCTGGATACGGTCACACTGTAACAGTGTTCCCACCCCAGGTCAGAGCATGCACACGTGCATGCACACACACAAGCACACACACACACGCACGCACACACGTGGTCATAGACTATCCAATCCAGACATGAACTCTGACATCGTAAGTCCTCATAAGGCCCCTTAGAGATGACTATAGGCCCCTTAGAGATANACACACACACACACACACACACACACGCACACACGTGGTCATAGACTATCCAATCCAGACGTGAACTCTGACATCATAAGGTATGAGGACTATAGGCCCCTTAGAGACGTCTTTTCCCAAATGCAACTGCTTCTGAGTAGTGGTACCCGCCCGCCTCTGATATCTTATCCTGAATGACATAAACCAGGCATCCAATGGGAGTCAACCTTGTCTGTACACTAGAATTGCATGGGTGCTAAAAACCCTGATATTGAGGTCCCCTAGGAATCAGATTCTGAGAGACAGAAAGTAAAATCCTGCCTGTTGGGAGACATGGGGAGGGGATGGAAGGTATTACTTCNGGGGGTGGAAGGTATTACTTCGTGGGGATGAGTTTTAGTTTTGGGAAATGAAATAGTATGG